CCCGCTTTGTGTACATTTCAGAGCACAAAGACACTATGACTGCTATCGGTTTACCCTTGTCGTCCCATGTGTTACTCACTCTCATATTCAGCCCAAAAAATACGGACTAATTTCCATTTACAAGATCACTTAAAAACCCATTCCCTGGGCTCAGCAGGCAGAATGAGTTCTGTTTTTGCCTGATGTACAGAAGGGGAATAAGAAGCCAAGGACTAATGTCCACGCAATGTCAATCCTGGAAAAGCTCTGAAAAGAACTGAGGAATGCATACGGATTTCACTTCCCTTACCTCTACAACCCCGAAATGAATATATAGATACAGATAGATGCAGTAAATAAAATATGCCATGAATGTGGCCAAGACCCCAAGCTTGACCTCCTGGGCCCCACATGACTGGCATGGTGAGCAGGCGGCGTTCCAATGAGCTCTTCCCACCTGCCAAGCCCATCTGCTAGAACGCACCGGCAGCCAGAAGTCACAAATTATAACCTACTGGATTCCTAAAAAGTGCCAACAGTCTCAGGGAGCCAGGGGGTAAAGGAATGGGAAGGGCATACTCGGCCTTTCTCTGGGAAGATATGTGACGAGGTACAAATCAGATCAGCTAAGACTTCTGCATTACATCAAAGCAGTTTTGGAAAAACCACAGAAAATCATGAAATACTAGAAGCATAAAATGAGCCAGAATCAGAAAAACTTAACTTAAGGGATCTTTTGAAGGCGTTTTCCAAAGACAAGGGAAAGACAATAAATAATAGTCGATCAATAACTAATTTCAACCGGGCTGTACTGATCTGTAAGTAATCTCTTTGTGACCATGGATGGTAGTTTTTAGGAAGTACTTTGAAGCCTTATCTCTTGACAGCCTACCTGGCTAGGAAAAGCCACACTCTCTTTCAGCCCACTGGTGGGGCTGGAAAACCCAGACACATGGTGCTTGACAAGCTCTGTAACTTAGGGGCCCGCAAAGAAAGGGCCTCAGAAACTCTGCCGCATTTTGTGCCATCCTCTCTGCCATTTGATAATTCTCCTTTTCAAAACTGATAAAGGTCTCCTTTGGAAAACAACAGTAGAGGCAGAATGAATTGGGAAGACAGAGCCAAAAGACAGAACTTATTTTGCAAAGCAACTGTGTCTCACAGCTCTGTGGACCACTCACATATTCAGTTCACTCTGAAAGTAATTTGTACTTCACCCAAGAGTTTCCAGGGTTGTAACAATGGCAGAAAAAGCAGTCAGACCTTAAGTCACAGCCTATTTTAACGCCTTGGGAGAAAAATAAAACTTGCACATATTCATGATTCATGGACACTTGACAAAGGTGGAGAGAAAGGATCCCTTCCCATATCCCTCCCCCGCCCCCCCATCTAGCAAATGCAGGAAGCCCCCAACCCTAAAACGGGAATGTTGTGAGTGCTTCCACTTGTGTAGGCATAGAAACACAATTATCTCCTTTTAAAAAATAACCCCAAAAACTAACAGAAAAAGGAATACATCCTACTGGGCATAAGTATTTTGTTATATACAGTTAACACCTATTTGGATCTGGTACGACGGCACTTAATTGTTTTATTCTATGCAGAGCAAAGCAACCAATTGAATCTAATATTAGTCATTCATCAGATAAAACATTTTCAGAAAAACAAACTGCTATATTTTCCCTTCAGAGAACAGCAAGCATTTTAAACACATTTTCCCAGAGATGTTACGCTGAGGAAAACAGCTTAGAAATGTTACTTTAAACAAATCCCTTCTCTGGCTACCAACAACAAGACAAATTGGAACCAATGCTTGGCTCTGTTCTTTCCAAGCCTCCTTCTGTCCACCTGTCAAAGGCTGTTGTGACCCCAGCAACCCATGAAGCCGTCTCCGGAGCTGCGCAATGTGCCACCCTGCACAGATGCCCTCTGCGCTGCATGCCAGCACCCTCATTAGGGATTATCCAACTCACTTGCAGCAGGGAGAGACAAGATGGGCAACCTGCCAAGTGTTCTTTCAACACGGATTCCGAAAGAAGATCCTGCGAAGTGCCGAAAGCCCAGATTTTCAACAGTGCTCTTTCTAGATTTGGCGCCATAGCAACATTGCCAGTGCACAGAGGGGACCGACCAAGTTAATATTTTGTTTAAATGACACACTGCATTAACTCTCTAGGAAAGCCATTTTTCTTTATCCAAAGGTGAGACCAACCTACCTCCTGCCAGCTATCTTCACTGGAACCAACTTCCAGTGATGGGTTAATGTGTTGGTTTAATTAATTTAAAATGATTTTTTACAAAAGAAACACACAAACAAAAACTTGAAAATGAATCTAAACAATCTCCTGGCAGAGGAAACAAAAGGTGACCATTTGTGCTAATATTATTAAACGTGCATTAGCATGCTTTTAATATGTGCATAATGCCCTTTAGTTAAAGTACAACTTACACCCTTGTGTTTTGAAAGACACTCATTTCATTCAAAACCTTGATTTGAAAAGTGAGGATAACTCAATAGCCCATTGAGGGTCTGGGCCCACTGAATCACATCAATGCAGACAAAATTAAAACCCAAGACTAATTTGGAAGAACCATCAGAATCCCTGAAGAGCTGAGCTTCTGTGAGCCTCCCTGGAGGTTTATTATGAAGAAGCATGGAGAAACCAATCAACCACACTTGAAAATTAACTTGGGAGAACTCAGAGCCTTCCTTTAGGAAAATGGAAGCAATAGCAAAAAGAAACAACCCAAACCACTTCTGTACAGGATTTCTTATATTCTGTTACAGCAGAAGGTGCCATGGGCCACAAGAACCGAACAAAACCAAAACCAAACCAAAGCAACAACTCCCAGAGGCTAAGTAACAAATAACATGAAAGTACCGGATTGAGGTACTGTTGCTTTAGGTAAGTAAAGACCCCCCCACACACACACTGGATTTATACAGGGGGCTTGTTTTCTTTCAACCCTCTCATCAGTGGACATTCACATCAATTTAGATGGATATGTGGTCAACAATTAAGTTGAGTTCTAACTTTTAACATTTAATTTTCTGACTATAAAATCACTAAGTGCCCCTAGTAAAGGCTTTGAGAAATATCAATGGTGCAAAGAGGAAAAATCAAGACCATCCTCCATCCTACCACCCACAGGCAGCCAGCCACTGCACAGGCAGGCAGGCAGGCTCCTAAGAGCATGAGGGAGCTGCTGGTTTGGTGTGTTTTTAAGGATCTCAAGAGATCCAAAAAGCCATTTCCATTGCCACAGCCTTGAAGGTTTCTGTAGGAAAAAAGGAAAGGGAAACGGCCCCCTGCTGCTCCACTAGGAGGACGTAGCCCTCAGTGAGTAAGTATCTCAGATTCCAAGTTGAGTGTGGAGACAGCATAGCTGCTGACTCCCTTTGCGTGATCAGTCTGCGACTGCACCCAGGACTTGGATAAAACGCCACGTAACTTTTCCTTGGCTGAGAAAGGGGCAGCCAGCAAGAAATAAAAACGAGCAGTGTTCAGTGTTCCTTACTATGGCTTTTGCCTCTTAGCAAAATGCTGGTGCTTAGCTATGACTTTAATGTTAGAGGGTCCCTGTCTATAGAAAGGAAAGCATTACTTCGCCCGGGTTTCGGTGGAGAATGCTCTCTCACTTACAATGGCATAGCAAGGGATACCTGACATGAACAACCAGATGCTGTCCTTGAAAACTATACAACAAACACTCAGACCACAACACCTTCCCACCATTACATCATAGCTACTTTGTCTGCAATTCCCAAGACTTCTGACAGGCTCCCAAGTACCAAGTTAAAATATGACTTGGAGTTGGACAAAAAACTGGCAATGTTCAGGCTTCACAGCTCACATCCAAAGAGCACACCTGCCCCGGGAGGCCAAGGCAGAAACAGGGACGGATGGAGAGAAGGCATTCATTTGAAAACAGACTCTCAACACTTAGAGCAGCTATTGAAATAACAGCAAAACCAGAAAATCATTTTACGCCACTGAGCAATTGGTACCTCACACTTCATCAAGCAACATATTTATACAAGTAGCCCTCATGGACTGGAGATTCTTTTTCTTGCTCTGGATTACAGCAGTGTAGTATACAATTCGAATGATATTAATAACCACTGACATGTTTCTTAAATGACAACTGGGGAGAGAGGGGAAGGGAATCCTGAAAAGCTTGCATAGGCTTTTACTTTTCGATTCACAGAAACAGAGTACATTTTAGGGATGCTTCATTCACCTTTAACCCTAGCTTCATCTCTGTCAAAGTCAACACAGGCCAGCTGTCTCCGTTTCCCTCCTCCTCTAAACTGCCAAGAGTCCCTTCCAACAGGGGGACCTCGTCTAAGCCCTCACTTCACCGAGAGCCTCAACCTCTGAGGTCTACATTTCTCCCTGGAAAGTGCCCTCGGTGGTTCCCTTTGCTGGAAATTTAAACTCCCTGCTGAGCAAAGCATCTACTGTTGCATCGATATATTCCACAGCCCCGCGATCTCAAATGGGAAGGAAATAAACTCCAGATGCAATCCAGACGAGGGATGCAGGACCCATGGAGAAAAGTGTGAGCCACACACACAGCAGCAGCAAGGCTCTCTGTGAGAAAGCGAAAGCCGTCCCAAAGAAAGAAGCCTCCAGAACTGCGGGAAGAGCAGCATCCACCCCTGCCGGGGATGGGGGCAAAGGCCCGGCCAGGAAAAGTTTGTCTGGGAGCTGGGGCTCTGTGCCATCCGAAGGACACTTGCTGCTGCCAGAAGGAACCCGCCGACTGCGCCTCGCTCACGCTGGCAGGGGCCGGTGTGACCGCGTGACCCACGCACACTGCGCCCGGGTTTTCCTTCATGACAGCAGCCTGCAACTCCCAGTCACCGAGCAGCGGTGGGCACTGCCGGGCGGAAAGGGTTACAAGCCACAATGCAAAGCGATTTCGCCCCGGGCGTGGGGGCACGGAGTCCCTGGCCACCTCCGGGCCGGGCATGCTCGCTCGCCTTCCCTCCACCCTGACGCCGGGGCGATCCCTACCTTGCGCGCAGTGCTGGTGGTTCTCCATGTTCGCCGCTGCCGAGTCCACTGCCGCCGAGGCGCTGGCCACGGCGCCCGGGCCCGGGCCGGGGCCGCCGCCGCTGCTCAGTTCCGCCAGTCTCCGGTTGGTGGCCGTGAGTTCGGCTCGCAGGTTGGTCACCTCCTGGCTGGCCGACTGGACCGCCCCATCGATGCGGAGAGCGAGCTGCTTATTGTCTTCCATCATGCTCAGGATTTTGGCCTGGGGGCGAGAGAGGTGACAAAGAGCTGCATGATGTGCGGGGGGCACGCGGCCGGGCACCCCCGGCTCTACCTGTTGGGTTCCCCGCGGCCCGACTCGCCCGCGTCCCGACCCTCAGGCACCGGCAGCGCCGGCTCCTCCGGCGCAGGAATGACAGCGGCGCCTCCAGCCCGAACCGCGGCGGTGGGGAGGCGGCGGGGGGAGGAGGAGGAGGAGAAAGAGGAGGAGGAGGAGAAGGAGGAGGAGGAGCAGCGATCGCCGAGACCCCGGCGGGCGGGCGCCGAGAGCAGCTCGCAGAAGGACACCGCGCGCCGCCAGGCACTCTTTAAATGGAGCCTACCATTCGCTGCCCGCCCAGGAGGGGGCCTGGGCCCGGGGTCCAGGGCGTCCTTGGCCTCCCGCGTCCCCCACTTCGGAGACACACCCCCCGGGGACCGCGACGGGCGCGCGGTGGTAGGGAATCAACGGAGATGGAGCCGCTGGCGAGGGGTGGTGGGGCTCCTGGACCCAGGTCGGCCCTCTGTCCCCTCCCTGGAGCGGTGGGGCGGCCCCGCCCCGGCAAACTAGTGCCCCGAGCTGCGCTGGGGTTGGTAAGGCGGTGGGTGCTTGGAGAAGAGTGGCGCTCAGAAAAGGGGCCCTGGAGGGGAGCAGGGGTGGAGCTCTGCGGAGGGGGCAGCTTCTGCGAGCTTAACAGTGCAGTTCTAGCTTTAGCGGGGTCCTTAAACTGTGGGTACGACGTGTCCAGCGGGGAACTGAGCTGGTGTCTCGCGTGCCTCTACTCCCCGGCGGCACTTCGCCCTCCCGACCTGCGCTGTCCTTACACGCGTGGGCTATTGGCGCTTGGGCCTCCCTGCATTCGTGAGTGGGGACCTGTGCACCCCAGGTGGAGGGAAAGCCTTGGCAGGGTCCTAAGCTTCTCAGCTGTGCTAAATATTGGCTGGGGAGACTTGAGAGGTCAGGAGAGAGGATGGGAAGGTTCCTACTGGAGGTAGGAGTGTTGAGCCCTGCCTCAGTTTACACACTCCACCTTCACAGGAGAGCTGCGGAACCTTCACGTTGACAAATCCCTTCTATTGACAGCTCCTCTTCTCTCCCAGAGCACGGGCTTCGCATTTTCCACTTGGGGCCCTGGATTCCTGTCACCAGACCTTGTTACCATAGCAAGCTTCACTCCATGCCAATGGGGCCATTTAAAATAGCCAGTGTAACCCCCTGGACAACAGTTGGCCCCCATTCCAGCTCAGTCAATTGCAGGAGGACAGCGAAGCATGTTTTCTAGAAGCCACTGGATGGCTCACACAGAGGATAAGGTTGCCCATTCACCCTTCAGATTCAACAGCATTTCTCCCAAGGCTGTAAGAATGAAGTAAAAAAAGAAAAACAAAACAACAAACAAAAAAAACATTCCTTGTGGTGATTGTCTCCTCTTTAGCTCTTTAGAGTAAGGATTACTACCCCCATTTTAGAGAGAGGAAATTGAAGCCCTGGGCAAGATTAAGCAGTTTGCTCAAGGGGTCCCCAGAAACCAGGTGAAACCAGGACCAGGAAGAAGTGATCATCTGATTCCAAGTTAATCCCACAGCACTGGCTGTGGACCTTGGACCTGAGATGTTTCCCCCTCTTATGGGGCACTATGAAGACATATTCTTGCTCTACCCCCTGTGACCACTAACAAGCTTTATTTTTTTTTAATTTTTAAAATATTTACTTATTTATTCATCTATTTATTTGTTACAATTTTCAAGCTGTGGGTCTGGGACTTAAACAATGGTCAGCCATGTGGAAATCCAGCGCCTTAACCACCATGCCACCTGCTGGCCTCCACTAAGAAGTTTTTGCAAGAGAGCAAAAACTACACTATTTTGCCCACTTTGTTCAGCTAACTGGTCAGTGTGGGGATTGATCCCTAACTTTAGCCTCATTAGTATCCATCCTTACCAACTAGACCAACTAAGGCAAGCAAAACATTTAACAGGCACAAAAATGGAAAATTATCTGTTAAGATAATGTATATGGCAATATCTTTGGTCTAATATACAGTGTATTCATGCTAGAAGAATTCATTTTATATGCTGTAAAGATGTACAGTGACTGAATGTTAAAAAAAAGAAAGTTGCTTGGTGTATTTGTAAACTAGGATTCAGTTTCTTAAAGTCTTTCAGTTAAGTTCTGGAGGAATATCAAAATAGAACTTCGGGAGTGTTCAAAGGGAGACATCATGGGGCAGCCTCCGTGGAAAACAGAATTCCCTCCCATATGACCCACCAAGTCCACTTCTAGGTCTCTGTCCAAAGAAGATATCCAAACAATAATCTGTACTCGGATGTTCATAGCAGCACTATGTGCAAGAGCCAGAAGGTGGAAACAACCCAAATGTCCATCAATAGGTGGATGGATGAACAAATGGAGGTGTGTGTATTATGTACAATAAAGTATCGCTCACCCATGTAAAGGAATGAAGCGCCGGTACATACTGCAACATGGATGCAGCTCCAAGACATGCTATGTGAAAGGAGCCTGGCACAGAAGATAGCCTATTATATGACTCCATTTATATGACATGTCCATTACAGGTAAACCCATAGAGAGAGAAAGCGAACTGGCATTTGCCATTGGCTAGAGAGAGGGAAGAATGGGGGGAGGGGGGTAAGTGTTTACTAGGCACAGGGTTTGCTTTTGGAATGATGAAAATATTTTGGAACTATTGAATCATTGGGAAAGTCATGCTGTATTTTTTTTTTAATGCAAAAATGCTTCATAGCTTTTCTGACGACCCAATAGATAGAAGTGGTATTCGCACTACATTGTGAATGCACTAAATGCCAATTAAAGTGGCTAATTTCGTGTTATGTGAATTCTACCTCGATTAAAAAAAAAGGCAGCATATGTGCAAATACAAAACAAAAAGAAATGGCAATGGGGGTGTCCTGGGAACAAACCTTCTGAGCAAACAATGAAGAGCAGCTCTGTTTGGAGAGTGGTGTGTGTGCAAGTGTGCTCACACCTCCGTCATAACATTCATCAGGAAGAATAGTAATTTCTCTGTTTGCGTGTCTCTCCCCCACTTCCCTGAGATCCGGGTGGGAGGAGAGTAGTCAGGTTTTCAGTGTTATTCATCTTTGCATCCTTGCCACCTAGCCCATAGTAAGTGCTCTGTAAATGAATACGTGTGAGCGTGTTTGTGCAGTAAACAAACTGACCGAGTGTTACTCATTTCCTTCTTCAGTGAGATTATTCCCACACAGCAGAATCCTAAAACCAAATCAAAACAAAACGAACCAAAAACCTAACAAGGAGACAAGAGAGCCGAGCTCATTCTTCAGGCCTCTTCTCATCTCGCTCTCTTTCTTTGTGGTTTCAAGGAACTTGCTTTAGATACTCCTGGGGTGCCTCGTAGTATTTTAAAGAATTTAATTTTTTTAAATCTGTCTAAGGGGCTTTCCTCACCTGTGTCTCCTTATGTTCATCCCCACACAAAAGGACTAGAGCTGAGATGAAAAATTCTGAGATCAATTACCCTACCTGATTTAAACCGAATAAAGTTACTCATCTACCTTTCTTTATATATATATATTTTTTTGAGAGGTTTTTGCTATAGGGCGCATGCGCTCGCCCGACAGAGAGAGAGAACAGAGAGACAGAAAGGGAGAAATCACCCCCCGGGAGGATGGTCACGCCGCAATCCCTTCTCCTCCGTTCTCCTCTCGGGATCTTGGGCATGCACACACACGCGCCTGGCGTGAGTTTTAAGCCACCAGGTCCGGGACGCGAACCGTGGTCGACTACATGGGAGTCCAGCGACATAGCCAATACACTAACTGCTGGTTCCACTCATCTACCTTTCTTACCTCCGCCTTCCACTCCTTCCTCCCTTGTGATCTCGGGTAACGACATAGTCACAGAGTCTGTGTTCTCTTGCACCTACCAGTTGCAAGCCCATTTGCTTGTCTAGATGGCTAATACTCATTTCCCACCCATTTCTTGGGAAAGACGTATAAACTGTCGGGGGGAGAGGTTCCAGAGCTGTCATCCTCAGTGCTCTCTCCTTTAAGGTCCGCAGCTAGGAGAACTAGACAGTATTGGTTCTGTTTCCGGATCCTCCTCCTGTGTGTTACTAAAGTAGCCCCCACTTTATACCCAGCAAGCTGATACTAAGAACCAACCAGAAGATGGGTCTGCTTCATAAGGACCTGCTGACATTGTCTCACTATCGCCTGTGGCTCTCATTCCTGACCAGCCATTCCCAACCAGTCAAACCCCATCCAAGACACAGGCATTGACCCATATGCAGTCTCCAGCCTCTGCCAATGTTTGCTGAGTTTCCAATTTTTCTGAGCAGAATGAGCAAACTGGAACATGCATATTGGGTGCCCATCAAAGCTTGCCTGGGCATTTTGGAAGGTCTGCAAAACCAACATCCTAGCTCGAGAGAGGACATGCCTAACAGGAATCAAGATAAAGAGTCGAATCCATTGTAATCAGCACAGCCGTAAGCCCCTCCCTTCTCCCATAAATACAGTGACCTTATAATTTAACGTCCAAACTGGGACACTTTCAAAAAGAGCTATGAATAATTAAGCTGGGACAGAGACAAGTGGTGTAATTTGGAACTGTCCCAGGAAACCCAGTATTTGTGGCTGTCCAACCTTACAACTAGATTACGCTTTGGGGCCCTAGAAGGCAATCGGGACCACCTACCACAGTGCCCTCCTTGTTAACAGACAGAGAAGCAGAGACTCAGATTCAGGAATAGACCTTGCAACCACACTGGTGGAGGAGGTGGGAAGGAGAGCCTTTAGAAAATGGGCCATCTTCCCACCAATGTGTATCACAGGGCGCGTCCTAAATTGCAGGTGAAGAGTGAGCCCACAGCCCTGCAGGACGAGGCCACTGAATTCTTGTACCACTCCTCCTTGCTCACTACACTCTGACCACTTAATTCTTTCCAATCTCAAAAAGTCTCTGCCTTTTCTTTTATCTCTGCCTGAAATAGTCTTCCCTGGCTCTCTCTACCTGATTCCCTTTCACCCTTAGATTTAACATTCAACATTTAGGGCTAGCCTTCTGGTTAATGGAGCCAGATCTCACATGGTCAAATATGGTTCGAATCCTGGCCCCAGAGACTTGAAAAATACCCCAAGTACATGTGCATGTGCACCCTGATCCC